CTTTCTGTGGATCGAGTCCAGGTTTTTGGGTCGGAAGTGGTTTTTGTCTAGGACTGAGCCATTGTTTTTGACATTAAATATTCACAAACAGAATCCATTTTTCATCACCAGTTTCTCTTCTTGTATTCAAACAGCATTACATGCCAATTGTGTGCATCATCACTATAAGGGAATTAGAGTATACTAAACTTTACACATTATATAGGCTACACTAACGTGACATTTAGGTGGTTTGTTTAACTATTATATGTGATGTACGTTTCTTGGGGAGGGGGGGGGGGTTAATGAAAGTGTTCCAAAACATGACATTAATTTCTTGATGACCTAATGTTTTTGGCCAACAAATGTAACTGAGCATAAATGTATGGCAAATGCTTATTATCATACTTTTCTCATTCAGCATGCTACAGATTTCAATAACACAGTTTGCAAAAAGAAAAAAAAAAACATTTCACAACCAAAAACAAGAGTAATTACAGAGATTGCATACCTTGCTTTATCGACTTAATCTCACAAAAGAAACTTTTATTAAGTAGATATAAAGTAAAACTGGCACTAAAATTTGGTACATTTTTCACTATTTAATTCAAATAAAATAATGTATCATTATTTTACTTATTTATTTTAAAAATTAACCTAATACTGCATTGTTTTAATGAATTTATTCATATTTCTTTAAAGTCCACCAAGTACATTTAATTCTATAAGAAGAACAATTTTTATTCATTTATTTGTATGTATGTACCCCAAACTGTAATAAAAAAAACCTGAAGTTTGTATTTGCTACAGAAACATTTACAAATGCAACTTAAAAGATATCTAAAAGTAACAGAGTTTAATTAATTTTTCACACAAATTATTTTTGTGACCTAAAAAAATTAAACAAGGGGACATACTGATCAGTGAACAAAAGATTTTAAGTTTTTAATTCAAATTACTATCACTAATAACTTTGGAGTAATGAACTGAATATCTCAACTTCTCATGACAAGGAACATGTCCAGCTAAAACTTTACAGTTTGTTTTTTTAATAGCAATATAATGGAACATAGGTTATAGAGTATAAAATACTTACACTTTGTGAATCTGAAATACTTTAAATGTATGCTTTAAACTTGCTGCTGCTGGTTCAAACACATCATAGATGGATGGATCTAATCTTGCATTATAACCTGTTAACAGTAGCATTTTCCTTGCTATTTCAGAATTTTGCATGTATATAAACACTTAAATTTTTTATTATATTTTTATCATTTGATAATGATTTTCAATAAAGTAATACTCACTTTTATTTGCCAGGCTTTTGACAAATTAGCAAATGGCTTACAAACTTATTTAAATACAAATTTAATAATCTAGTGGAGATATATAAGAAACTAAACTACAGCACCTCACTTACTGTTAGTTCAACAATCCAACATAAGTAAAGGCTCAACATTGTAATTGTACAGCCAGATGTAAATAAGGAAAGTTAACAAAACTGCAATTTCAACAAATAATAACAATACTATGTACAAACTCTATATGATCTAATTAGCTGTACTTTTTAAGACCGAACTTGGAATTTAGGCCTAGATAATATCCAATTTCTCTTTTGGCTACTTACTTTAAGCGTTTTACCTACATAGAATTTTCAAAAATATCATTTGACTTCTCAGTCATCCTAACATACACACTTAAACTACCTAATTTCTTTCTATAATTCTGTAACCTTTTTACTTAGGCTAGCACTTTTACTAGATGATCAAAACAATACAACAATTACACCAAAAAGCAAAATTTGTAATGAGTAATTACAAAGAATAATCAGTAAATATTTATATTAGATAAGAATAAAGTACAGCTTAAAACTTTTAACAAACACTTCTGCAAATCCAAAATTGAATGTTTCAGCATAATGCAGGAGATCCCACATGTTAGTGTAAAAAGTTAGATACAAGTCATTGGTTTCATTACATAACACATAGTTAACTCTACCTCAGTTGAAATATAAATAATTACTAACACCAAAACTGAGCCTATAATTATTTATGATCAGCTTAACAACAACAACAACAAAAGCACAGCTTATAGTGTATCAAAAGTAATTACATATCTTACCCGAATACTGTGGTAATTCTTCTTCCAACCATACTGGTAACCAAATGTTTATTATGAGATGCTAAAAATGAAAAATATAAATTATCTATATGTAAGAAATGTATAATCCTTTTATCACAGGATGAGTTTTTCTAAGATAAGTTATTGTATTACTAGGAAAATTACTCACTTATCAAGAACCCAAACTTAGAAGGGGATAAGAAATAATTTTTTTTACTGCAATATGACTCTTAAATAACATTAATTGCGACTGAAAAAAAGATTTTACACTAAAAAAAGAGAAATTCTTATTGCAGGCATATAATCAACATTGGTTGATTACTCAATCTGATTGTAGGTACATGTATAAAAATAGTTTTGTTAGAAACTAGTTAAACAATGAATTTCTAAAAAGTTTTGATCACTTTCAGTTTCAATAATGATGATTTTGAGTAGTATGTCTTCACCACATCAAAATAAGGAGAATTAAAACGACTATTACACAAACAGCTTCCTAGTTCACCAACACAACTGTTGTTTCTAAAGGATCTAGAGAACTTCCACACTTTCCAGAAAATGACATACCTTCTCTCACAACAACAACATCCAAGTGGTATACAATTCTAAAGTACAAAGCTATATCTGTTTCTACACAAGTTGTCTATATTTCTAAGTTTTAAATTTGAGAGACATTCACAGTTCAAAAAAGAAAATGTGATTTTTGTACAAAAATTTCATTTCAATGAAGTAGCTTTTGATTTTTATTACAAATATATATATATATATATGCAATTATATGGAAGATTTACAAGAAATTTGTCACACTGACAATTTTAATTTTGTCTTTGTTTAACTAAAGTTATTACATATAATACCTGATAGATTCCAATAACCCATTTTCGGGCTTCATTAAATAACTGTTCATCTGTCCAATTCTTATTCACGTTCTGAAATATTTCTGCCAATCCGTTATGCAATTTAAGCCACAAAAATTTAAGTTTTGAAACAATTGGGTCTTCAATGGTCCATAAGTCTATAAAGCAAAAGAATAATTTTTTAAAATATGTTTAGAGATTATCTTAATTATTGGCCCACAATTATATAAAGTAAAAAGATAGTTCTTAATTTTGAGACTATCATAATTGGATTACTATGAAGGTTAAATACTGAATATTGCATATCTTTGGAGCACTTGAAGTATAAAGTACATGTAACAACATTTACACTATTAAGTATCAATGCCTGTTTATAATTCATTTATAATTTGTCGTTTTTATTATAGTAATGTTGGAAATCATGGAGAAAAGTTTATTTATAGAAATTATACAGAACATCAATCAACAACACACACACACACACAAAAAAAAACTAAAATTAATGTAAAGCAACATAGACCAAAACCAAATTGGAAAAATCTTTACATATAAATAAAACCAAGTTGTGTAAACTTAAATTAAAGTTTACATATTAAAATAAATCTTACAAAAAGCAACAAAGAGAAAACATTACACAGAATATTTTAATAAATGGGAACCTAAAGCAAGAGAGAGAGATCAAGAGTGTGTTATTATACTAATAAAATATTATTGCAACAAAACAAGCAAATACCTTTTGTTAGAAATTAATTTGTGGATGTAAAGAAAACCAAAAAGCTTTAAAAAAAGAAGAAAATATAGCTAGCTTCATTATAAGATCATGAATGATCTCTAGTAATTTGTAGGAGATCCAGAGCATCACCTTAAATTTGAAAATTAGAGTCATTACTTAAACATGTTCTGACAACTTTTTTAATGTTATCTCTTTCACTACTAGTCAGAAGGAATTATATACCCCAAAAACTGGAATATAGGTTGTGAATATCCAAGCACTCTAAGGGTTATGGCAAACAGTTAATAAGAAAAGTACATAAATCTGATCATTACTTATTAAATAATGATTTTATCTGGTGACCTGTGAAGGAAGACAGCTTTGCTAAGTCTATCAAATGATACTAATCCTAGAAGATGAAGCTTTTTACAAAATCCATAAAAATATATGTAGGAGCAAAACTCAATAAATTTGGAATCTTTTACCTTATATTTATAAGTGAGCTCATGTTTGCATACACATCCTTATAATATCAGATGGTGGTAGACAACTGAAGTTATTTTCTGTAGGTTAGCTAATTATGGAATTAATGATTTTTGTCAATCTCTTTCTTATGATTAATTGTCTTAGGTTTTAAAGAATAATCTTCACAACAAATTACTGTTACGTAGCAACATTTTATTTAGTACTTTGTAAACTGCTTCTGATAAGAAGTATTTCAATAAAACGTCTAGTTTTCTTGTCAAAAAGTTTGATGATCAGGGGCGGATTGGGATGGCTAAGCGGCCCGGGACTGGGATCACAGAGTGGCCCTGGACAGGTTTTC